TATAGACGTAAGCAAACCAGCCCTTTTGGCGCTTCGGCTGGGACCGTATGCTGAATGTTGGGGAGGGGATGGAGTCCCCGACGGTGGACGGACCACTTCAACTCGGTCCTTAGAACCGCCACAATTTGGTGCTTACCTCAGAACTAAGCCTTAAAGAGAGGACGGGTCCGTCCCCTCTCCAAGGCTTAGTCCTGGGGTGAGCAAACCAGCCCTTCTGGCGGAGCTGCTGGACCAGCTGCACCACTTGCGTCAGTACTCTCCTATCGTACCAACCGAGTTGAAGTAAACCGTCGACCGTTGGGGACCCCATCCCCTCCCCAACATTCAGCATACGGTCCCAGCCGAAACGCCAAAAGGGCTGGTTTGCTTACGTCGTGCCGCGTAGCTGCACCGGCGACCGGCCTATTCTATTGACCGCTATTCTCGCATGGGCGATCTTTCAACTCGCTAGAGTCAGATGCCAGTTTTGTGTGTAAAGCAAGAATTCTTAATTGGGCCTCAGTGCGAGCTCTATAGAGGCATATTGTGGGAAATGTTGGCTAGGGAGGATGTAAACATTTGGACTTTCTTTCTGTTTTGTGACACGTGGTCTGCTTCTTTCCAAATCGCAGTAGCACCGGAATGTAGTCTATTATCCTCTCAGACAAGTCTTGTACTTATTAAGTAATCCCAGAGGATGGAGGGGTGATTGGCTGAGGACAAATACACAAATACGGTCCATGGATTGTTTAGTAACATGCGCGTGGTAGGTAACGCCATTCGCTGCTATTAGCATAGTTCCAATCTCTATTTGAGCTGGTCTTAATTTTCGTCATGTGACGACTAGTTACTCCCGTTCGCATCGTTTTGCCTGCGATATGACTCATCCAAAATTAGTGCGTAATGTTGATCAATTCAGAGGAAATGCCATACATCTGACCTGCAGCTAGATTTGTAGAGAAGTGGCTGTTTATCTGGCATTTAGAGTGCTGGGGAAGGCCTGCCGATTAATCTAATATTACTGCGCTATGTTATTAGACTTGTTCGAAGATTTCCGCCGGTTGTTCCGGCTTGTAGTCTTTCTGATTTTAATGGTTGTTTTCGATCGTTTTTTCTTTTGTATAATCTATAAAAAATCATGGACAATTGTGTTTAAGATTCGACTCGAGTGGCTCTTGTCTCCGAATAGAAGGATCGAATAGAAGCTGGCAGCGATTTGGAGAACGATCGACGTATAGAGGCCATCCATCCGATCGGCACGTATACAATCACAGTAATGTGGAGCCGGAATGGATAGAACCAGAATATAATGTAGGAAGTGCTTGTTTGGTATGCGAAGGCCTGAAAATATATCGTTTATATTTTAGGCTCGACGATGTCCCGATGGTTCTCTCAAGGTCAAATTCGCAAATGTTATGGTGAGTTATTTTACGTGAATTCAGGCGTTTTTCAATTTTATGTAATTATTTTTATCAATGAAATGGCTAGTGGTAACCACGGTGGATTCATGAGTTAAAAGGCTATTTAAAAGTAAATAAGCGTTGAGGATATTTCAACTCTCAACGAAGGGCGGCGTTAAGCTGGACATTGCGAGGAGTTTCACAAGAATGCTGGGTTGTGAACAAAACTTTCAAACAAGTTTTCTTGTTCACAACCCAGTATTCTTGTGAAATATTCGCAAGCGAACTGTGAATCCGAAACAGTCAATAAGAACAAAAGCAAGTCACTATTGGACGAGGAAGTTTTTAAAGTAAATCAGATAGAAGTAGGCTCAATGATAAATAATTGATAAATTTATCGGTGAGTTTAATAGATGGTTCGCAGCTGAACAAGCGCAATAAAGTGGAACAGAACTCAGAGGTGCATATAACCTCTCATTCTATTTACTCGAATTTATACTTTTTGGGGATGTTCTCTGTGACGTGTATGCTATGGAAGTTGGGATTCGAGTAGAGCGTTGGCTAATTTGGGGACAGTCAGAGTGCTCATTCACAATTAATAGTGAGCTAATGTAAGTCAAAGCACTCGTGCTGATTTCGTGTCTGTGCGACAAAGTGAGAATCATAGTAGCGTGTGGTGTAATTTTCGGCGGTATAAAAAACACCATTAGTAGAATTAGACTTTTGCTAGATGAGCTCTGCGTACAATGAGCAGTGTGGACTCAAAATTCGCGGACTCAGCAGGTATTGTTTTCAGTTTTGAGCGTCATCCTGTATGATTTTTTCTTGCAATCTTCAGTCTCATGTACGTAATGTAAAACTATTTTGCTTTATATCAATACTTCTTGCGAATGCAGTCAGTGATTTGTCATAGGATAGAGGTGGGTAACGTTAATGTCTCGTGGAGTTGTGATATTTTGCCAATGTTACAAAGAGTTTCTGTCCTACCTAATTTTTCAGATTTCCCTATGTGTTGGTTGTGTGCGATCAAGGAGAAGCTGAACTTTCTACAACTTTCGAAGTTCTACAGACTCCCCGGTGCAACCTTACTGTAAACGGTTGTTCTACAGATACAGTATGGTGCTACCCTAATCATGGCAAGCCATCATCAGGAGCCCCATCATACCTTTTCGATGCCAAATGCGTCCGCTACCCGATCCTACCCTTACCTTCCTACCTTCAGGTTGATCACAGATTGTTCCGCTACTTGCGATTCCGGTAGGTAGAACGGATATCCGACAGGAGCCGTTCGCGCGGCTAGAGGCAGATCAGGCGAGCAGTTGTAAGTGATGTGTGATGGTGAGTTTGTGTAACTGTGCAGAAGGTTACATATCTCATTTATGACGTGAACTCGCTACAGTACTCGCTGCGATCGCTCCGCTGACTGCCGTTTGCAGCGCGACAGGCCTCCTGCTGGGTACCCGTTGGAGCACCCTTAGTATTCACGCGGCTCAACTGGCTTTTCTCGTCGCTTCCTTAATCACACTCACGAGCTCTTTACGGATGAAGGCATACATACCGATCAAAATACGTACCGTCGAATGTACATACTGGCAAACAGACCCACACTAAGTGGGTTACACAATAGAATGATTAATTCTCCGTTTGATGCAAGAGCTGTGAGACTTGCACTCAAGTTGTATGAAAAGGGACTTTTGTTGCAGGGCAGAAACACCCTGCAGTGAAAGGACCCTCAGAAGCATTCAAAGTAGAAAAAATGTTTTGTTTGGTGTTGATAAACGAACGGTATCCAATACCAACGAAACTTGACTCTTCAGGTGTGCTGCCTCGGTGTTGAGGACGTCGGCTATGTGAAACACACGACTCGACTGGAGAACGGTAGTGAACGAAAGCGAATGTGTGTCGAATGGGGTCATGTGGCTCGGGCTAGGCAACGTCAAATCGAAGCTCGAAAATGCCAACAGATGACTGCTCTCAATGCCACGATGTAGTGATCAAATTTACGGTGTACATCCTGAATGCCTCTGTTGCCGTTGCTCAAAGCATGCTCGAAAATATTTGTAACTATTGTATATGATAGATCGAGTAAATTTGTAACTTTTGATTTCATTTCTGGATAGGTGATTCTAACGGGACCTCTGTGGTTCGCGTGATACGGGTTGTCATATGCTAGTGACCGATTCTTCGACATTTCTGGAGTGGGACTGTGCTGTGAAATGCATAAAAGAGCATACTCGCGAGCTCCAGCTTATAGTGAGGGGTACCCGACAGGAGGCCCGTCGCGCGGCAAGAAGGTGGGGTCAGCGGACGGGTCGCGGTGCGTGCCGTGCGACTGTAGGACGTGCAATGGTACATTCTGTTTAACATTGACGCGAAATCACTACGATGCACACTGGCCGATGTCAGACTTTGCGATTGGAGCGATTGTGCACAAATTGCAGGAGCGACGGATCGCTTGAGCGATCCATCGCTGCGAGCGACGGGAGATTTACACCGCCGACCACCGATACACACGGCGCCGCTCGGGTAAATCTCCCGTCGCTCGCACTTTGAAGCGACGGATCGCTCAAGCGATCCATCGCTCGGGCCGTGATGTGCCTCCTTGGCCGTTGTGGCAGGGAGCTGCGAGCGACGGGAGATTTACGAGCTGATGGCGCCGAATTATCGGTGGTCGGCGGTGTAAATCTCCCGTCGCTCGCATCGCTCAAGCGATCCGTCGCTCCTGCAATTGGTGCAAAATCGCTCCAATCGCAAAGTCTGACATCGGCCACTGTGATCGCGTCCACGCCTGCCTCCTTGCCGCGCGACGGACCTCCTGTCGGGTACCCGATAGTGAGCACAGGAATCAAGGGCTTATCGTTTATGGATTTTACCAACAATGCTTTCTTAATAGGAACTTCGCGTAAGCCTGGCAGGTAGTCGATAGTTTAAATGCGGCTTCCGGTTTCTAGGAGGAGAGAGTTCAGAAAGCGCATAGCGTTGCCTCGATGCAGAATGAAGAAAAGAAAAAAAGAAAAAAAAAAAAAAACAAAAAAAGAACAAAAGCTCGAGTACACCTTTGGTTTTCATGCCGGTTCTTATTGTAATATTTCCGGAATGAGTAGGCGGCGAATTCTTCAGCCAATCTGGTGCACTTGCTATGCGTCAGCGTATTAGGGATCACTACCGTACCTCATAGTAACCAACAGGCCTCAAATTTGCGCGCCGCAGCTTTGGCGAAGTGAAGCTTTCTTGGTGCTAAGGCTGGTAGCCACTGTTATCAGCATTGATAACAAAAACACTTCAGTGAAAATAATGGTCAAAGGGTGAACGTGGGAAGTAGCATTTTTAGTCACGTGTTTTTTCAAGCCGGTCCGTTCAACAGCGCCCTTCACAGCAAACGATGTTTCGAAAGATTACCGATGCTCTGCATTTCACCAGCAGCGATGAAGATGAAAGTAAGGGAATTTGTGGAAGCTTCTATCTTCGTGCACTTGATGCCGCATTTTAAACCTCATTGGGGTGTTTTTACGGCAAAAGGTACTGGCCAAACAACATTT